GGTCAGTTTTCCATCAGCATCTCATGTTTCCGCTTGATACCTGTGCAACTGTTGATGACAACGTAAGAAGAGAGACAGATTTTCCACAAATTAAGGCACGTACTCTGGATGAAAGAAAAGACCAGGGCCTTTTGGGTCCACACCATGCTGGAGTTACACCTCTCTCTAATCCACAGTTTCTTTCTAGGAAGCAGAATTCAGTTTCATCCAGTCATAAGAAAGAATGGATGCTGAAATCTAAGCAGTATTTGAGCACAGCCCTCACCACGTTCGACTCGCTGTGCCAGTCCATACCAGCCAGCTGAAAACCACCAGCGGTCACCTCATTCATCCTTTCTGCATTTTACGCAGTGTGGCTCCCACCTGTTATGAAATACCCTTTCTGTTCTCTTAAGCCTCAAAGATTTTAGCAACCTGCTGTCATCTGTTAAACCAAGATCAAAGACAAAAAAGTGCCTGTCTAATCTGGAATGTAATCCTTCTTATGTGGGTTTGTTCCTGAGCTGGGTGTCAGTACTGACAGTCCTTCTATCCCCATCTTTTTGCTTAGGGATTAAGACAATGGGGTCGCTCATACCGTTACCACCATGGATCTGACTATTTTCCAGCCGTCTAGTTTCTGCTACTATTCATGGGGTGTGTAGTACATAAAGATACGATCACAGTTTGTGAATAGTCCCACAGCATACAATAAACCTATCAGAAACTGGCCTGGCATCACACCTGTCATATTGCTTTTCAAAATGAGAGTTCCTGTCATTAAACAGCCACTGACCCTTTGGCAGCAGGACCAGACAAGGAGGAAACTACAAACAACTTCCCCTATAAATGCCAACACACTGTCCTTATTTGACACTGTACAGCTTCAGGTGATAAAATTGTTTTGACAAAAGTGGAAGCTGGGAAGCCTGCTTCACCAGACCTATAGGAAGCTGGAAAAATAAATAAATGCATCACTTTATTTTCCTTTAAATGTTTTCCACCAGATGGATCTTCTTTTAGCTTTCATTCATGCTGTATTTCTCACATCTGTGTGCATTTGTTTGCAGTGAGGCAGCGCATCCAGCACAGACCAGAGAACTTCCCTTGTGTGCATCCTTTCAAAGCCTGGTCAGGCACTTCCTGCCTTCACAGGGGATTTAACATCACCCTTTTAATCTTCCCAAGTTTTTCTTGGGCTTGAGTATTTCAAATATTATATAGTTCTAATTATTCCGGTAAGATACTGCAAAATCTCAAGTGCTTTCATTCCCCTAAAAGCTGGCAAGGGATGTGTAAGTTGTCTGTGCTTTTGTTTCCCTTACTACATACTTTGTTTTCTCTTTCTTTCCCACTTGCCAGAACAAAACCAAAATCTGCAAGCTTCCCTCTAAACCATCCTGTGCCAAATTTTCCAGGAAGTAATCTGTAGTACTGAGTCCCTTAAAGAGATGCTCCCAGTGCAAATATCTATACCGACAACAGCACAAGTTGGGATGATTAAAAGCTACACAGCTCTTATATTCCTTACATCTTTGTGTCTATAAGCTATTTAGTAAGCAAATTTCAAAGTTTCTGCTGTGACTTTTAATTTCATGTACAACCACGTTTGCTGCATATAGGAATTATTTTCTTTACTGAGCTCAAAGAAACAATTTACCATTTTTATCTAAGATTATGTAGAATTCAACACATTGATGCTACTTAGCTATAGTGCATTTAGGGTAATAGTTCTAACTTTAAATAACAATCTTTTCTTAAGCTTTTAAAGGCAAACTGTTGATTAACTTTAAAGCATGTATCTCTCAGGTAAGTAATGTTAGTCATTGTTCATTGTGAGAAACTTAGCCACATATTTACTGTAATACACATTTCTGTTGATTAATTATGTAAAACAATAGCAGTTTTTCTTCCTCGGACTTAAGAGAAAGACTCCTACTTAAAACAAGGACTCTTGAGAAAACAAATTTCATTTCAAAGGTTATTAGCAAAAAGAAGCCTTTGTTTTAGTCTTAATGGAATCATTCTCCTAGGATGACACAAATATCCATAAAGCACCATGATTTCATTTGGGTTTTAAAAAAACAAAAACAACTTTATTTTCCCTTGACACAAAACAAGATTAGCTGGGGTGTTTTTTTGCTCTGTTGGGTAATACAATAATGGCTAGATTGTTTGTTTCTGGCCATCACATGAGCATGCAAGGAGAAGGGGAGAAGATATAAAAAATTTCCTCTGCAGAGCTGCTGAAGAGCAGGAGGCAGCATGCCTGGAGCACAGCCTTCTCCTCCCACCAGCTCCTGGGTCTCACTTCAGCATCACACGTGCCTGCCAGGCAAAGCTGGCTCCCAAAATAATGCAGATTTACCCCTTTACAAATTACAAAAAAAAAAAATTTACAAAATAGCTCTCCTTCCTGCACTGCCATGCAGTCACAGCAAGGAAGGGAGCGAAGAGTAAGCTGGACCAGGGTCTCATATTCTCTTGACCAGCCAATAGACCCATCTGTTGCCACAAAAATTGAAGCTGCTGTTTCCTACATTGTGCAGGGTGCTTATTGTCCCCGCGGTCTGCAGCTGTGGGGGAGGCTCTCCTTCCTCCAGCCAAAAACCGCCAAGGGCTTTGTTTACATCAGTGCAGCTGGGAGGTCCCTCAAATGCAGGCCAGCTGTTAAAAGCCAAAATGAGCTCCTAAATAGTGCAAACCAAACTGTCCTTCTGCATCTGCCTCTTCAATCCCATCCAATAAACTGTCCACTAGTAACAAAATAGAATGAGACCAAAAGACACAAAGCACATGTTATAACGTGACTGTAATGATTGGTCAATATATCCTACCATGCCTCCGTGTAAAAGGAGCTCTCCCAGAACGCAGACACGGCCCTGAAGAGGACCCCGCACCTTCATGGAGAGTAAAGCAAACAAATTCTAAAATATTTACCTGCTTTTTACCTACTCTCATATGGGAAAAATCTCCAAAAAGATGAGGCCAAGATAAGTAATTTCATTTACTTAATTTGTTTACAAACTCCTCCTGTTAAGAGAAAAAAATATGGAAAAGTACTAGTTAGGGGTTTCTTCAAATAGATACTCTAAGGTCTTCAGACTTGGAAAGGTGTTCATTAATGTGGGGCAAGACCTTGGAAAATACTGCAAAAGGCCAAATGCTGAAAAAAAAATCTCAGTATACTGTCCCATGTTAGTAAATGACATATAAAAGGAAGGGGTCTATTTAAAAAACATTGCCAAGCAGGAGAGGATCAAAATTTGCTCATACCCCATAGCATGAATTTGTGAATCTGGCTGGACATAGTAAAGAACTTCTCCTTAGTATATATTGTCACATGAGAGTTTGTAACTTGTAGGTTCAGGGGGGTTTTCTTTCTTTGAAAGCATCTACAGTGGAATAAAAAAAAAAAAAAAAATCAAAAAAATCTTTTAGAGCACAGAAAAAGAGATTATGGTAGCAGATATCTACAGGAAATTCTGATCCAGTGATCATAACATGAACGTGTTCTCAAATTAAAGTAAATTCAACAAGTAGACTAGGTTTGTTTTCTTCATGGTTCATTGTGAACTTAGATACCTTACACTTCCTCGTGGCAGAGCCAGTATTGCATTTGGGAAACATGAAATGCTCCAGATTTATATGCATATATAAGAAGAGTATTTTGCAGCACAATTTGATAAACAGTTTTTAAATAGCAAATGTTACTGATAAAAGCAAGGGGGGGGGGTGGTATTTTTCAAGATGGAGGTTTTCTTTGGGGGCAACTGAAAGAAGGGTGTATAGAAAGACTTGTACCTCCTGAAGTTCTCCTGGAAGTAAGTAGCACTATAAACAAAGGCATTATCAGAGGAGTCCTGAACATCTCAGTATAAATTAGCCCTGGGACCTTAACTACATTTGTATTCAAATCCATATTAACATGAGCATTGGATCTATGCTACACTGTCATGATTTTGAGACTATAGCACAGGAGTGTCACAGTCATTTGCATTGCACAGTTTAGAAAATACTGCTCAATAAAATAAAACTCTTTTCAGAATATGCAAGAAAGGAAGGCTTAATTTCTAAATAAAGAAACCATTTTCAGGAAATGTAGGGTTTCTGTCATGATGTTAGAAAAGAACTTTGATAAACCATTTGCAAAATATTAGAAAACTTAAATAATACATTAATAATAATTTCATTATAACAAAAAAAGTATTTGCCTTTAGTATGGACTTTCTCCCTTCAAAATGGCATTTTTTTTACCACTGATGTTATGATCAGCACAAATAATAAGAAAAAACAGTTGTGAGTAAATGCTTTTAAATGGACAACTAGCTAAATATGTAAATAATTATGCAACATTCATTTCTTTTTATATCCTAAGGAAAAAAATCCAAAACTGTTCAATCAGATTCTTCAAAAAGTCCTGAAGGGTTGTTGAAAAATGACCTGTTTATTCCTACATCTGCTTAATTAATGCAAGTGAATATGTCAAATATCCATCCCGGTAATGGATTAAGAAATTATCTACAAGCAGCTTCGGAAAGCTGCAGGCAAACAAAATTTCTCAGTATCGCTATGCAGAACATCCTACCCTACATCAAGGCATATCTGAAAAACTTGAGGTAAAGCAAATGGGTTATAAAAATATGTACATCTGTAAATTTTCTTGTAGCAGACCAAAGCAGCATTACCATAATAGTTACATCTGTCATATCTCCTGTCACATAACTCCTGGCTCTCCTGCTCTAGTTTTGTCAGTCTTGAATGCATATTTCTCTCTTTCTTGCTGGTATATCTGTAAAGCTTCAGGCGAATTTCCCTCACTGATCCCTTTGCACACATTCCCTGAATCAAGCCTGTGATGCTGACAAGGAATGAAATCCCTTATAGCAGCTGGGGTGAGGTAGGAAGCAAAGATCACTGAGGCACTTTGAAAAATGCCTTTTTGAAACAATATGTTAGTTGACAAATACATGTATGATTATATTGCCAGTGCCCAAATAATTTCCACCATTTACCTGTTGTATCCTGGTCTCTTTTGAGGAAGAAAAACAAACAGCACAATTTTTACAGATAAGGAAGGCAGAAGGCAAAGGAAACATGGCAGATGGGCTATCAGATGAAGAATACCAGACAATTTCATCAACCTAGAGCAAATAAAACACTACCATCAACAGTCACACTTTCACAGTCACAGAGAGATTGCATAGGACGTTTATCAGCAAAATATTTAACCACCAGACATACAGTTTTAAAATAGCTAAAAGCCTTTCTAAAATTGAGGTTTGGTTGTGTTTATGAGAAAATTAAAGAAAAAATGGACTTGAAGAAGCAATTAGTTCCAGCATTTTCCACATGAGAAACTTCTATTGTGGGTGTTAAATTCACAAAAGGATTAGGAAGATCAGTGAATCTGGTTCTGTTATATTGCCACTCCTTGGGAACATGAGGAGATAGTAACTGGTACCCAGGTGCATCTAATGTCCAGATTTTGAGGTGGTCTTGCAAGAAAACCAGCTGAGGTATGCAAGATACCCAGTCCTGAGAGGATGGATCAGCAGCTATAGACCACAGCTCTTTATTTAGCATCCCTCTGAGATGCTTCACTGCACCTCAAGAGCACTGGTCAGTAATGTGGCCCCAGCATACCACGGGTTCTTTGCACAGAGAATCAGCTGAAGATATTCTGGTGTTACTAACAAACTTGTAAATGGGGCCTCTGGTGTGGACCGTCCTCCTGTTTACAAGAATAGAGAACAGGCTGCAAGAGCTGGTCACAGCTTTGACCTGTGGCTGAGAGCTTATTCAAATCCTTGCCTTACTGCCCTCCGCTCTCTCTCCTCTCTGATCACCTGTCCTTCTTTCTAATCTGAGTAATTTCAAATTTAAGATATCAAGAGGATGAGCTTTAACCACTGCAGCCAGAGGGTCTTCAGAGATGAATTGGAAAGCAGGATGCTCTTTCTCTAGTAAACTGCCACTGAACAGATGAGGCAGTCCTCAGAAGGAACTGGGACAGATTGTTTCCGTGGTTGTTTTACTGGCTGGGTAAATGCTGGTTTTGACTTTGTGTTTTCAAGAGGTGTTGAAACAGAGGACCAGATACTAATTTTGATGATTGTTTCTCCCAGCCATTATAGATTGGTACATCTCTGCCTGCGAGACTTTGACTAGGAGAATCCTGCAGTTTTCCAGGAGGAAAAACCTGCTGCAGGAGTAGCCTAATTTAGAAACTCATTTAGGAGAGTGCGAATGGGATGAGAAAGTTCTTCCTGGATGGAAGACTATATTCTCCTTCATGCTTACAGGCTGCCTCATCCTCCCCTATCCTGTGACAAGTGCCAATGAGAGGGAAAGGAAGAGCCTGTGCCTGGGAATGAAAACTTGCAAAAGGGGCATAAGAAAACTATAGAGAACTGCCTTGTCCAGGAAGAAATCCTGCCAGATGATGGGGGGAACAGAAAATGCAACACTTCCTAAATGACACAGAGGTTTTCTTTCTGGAAAACTACCCCAAAAGAGTATTGTTCCTTTACCTGGTTTCAAAAAAACCTGTTCAAGTTCATAACCCTCGAGAAAGGGTTTATACCACGAAGCCCAGTTTACAGATGTACTAAAATGAGGCAAGAAATAGCATTTCAAACACAACTGTACTACCTTCTACTAGTTAGTTTTTTGTGTTCCCCCAATGAATATCATGGCTTCTACCAATTTTCTTCTTAGCTATACAACTGTATAAATGGTCATAAATGTCTATAGTATCACTTCACTATGCAAACACAGAATAAGAGGTTAAGAGTCTGACAGCTGAAACTTAATTCAATTCCAAGTTTAATAATTGGGTATCATGTTATCTGTGCATATTCTGGATCTCACTCTATGATCTTGTATGGGTACTACTTTTCGCTTCCTTCAAGAATCAGTAGCCTTATCAATATTTAAATATAGGATTTGTTTCGTGTGAACTGCTCTTTGAAAGGCTTTGTTCAATTTTGTCTTCTGTTCCATTCACTTCTCTTTTTCATTATTATTTCTTTCAAAATCCTTTTCTCCTGCACTAAGTTGTCCTTAAGTTTTGTTTATGGCAGGCTACTAAGTAAGCCATTAGCTTGAGAAGCTAGACATTCATCTGTGGTGCCATAATTTTATGCTCAGAAGATTAGGTAGGCTACACCCTAAATGAACATAGTTAAAATTCAGCACAGCTACTTTCTTAATTTCTACTGAGTGAGACTAAAAAATGTTTTTTAACTGGTAAATTTCAATTTCTGTATTTTTCTCTCTGGTGCTGCTTTTCCATAGAGAAACCACAGGGTATGTTGAGAGAGCAAAAGAAACTCCAAGACCATCCTCTAGGACTCTCCTGTGCCATATCCTTTGTTCTTGCCTGTGGTGTGTGTTCAGTCTTTGTATTGCACCCTCTCCCTCAGCCTTGGCTGCATCACTCGGCCCTTGTACTCTGTCTCTGTGCAGAAACCAGTGCCCTACATTGAGAACCCTAATGCTGATCTAGGGCTGGTAAGTGCACAAACTCCATCTCTCCCTCTCACCTTACCTAGTTACAGGACCAGGGGTCTCTGCTGCTGCTGCAAACAGGAGTACAGAGCAGCTCCACAGGTGATTTGTCCTTGATACTACAGGGTCTGGGAAAGCGTCTGAGATTGAAGGTTCCAAGGTTGATGTTCCATCTGCTCAACTAGGCCATCCCAAAGAGTTCATGAACACACGCTCTGCTCCCTCCACACCTAGAGGAGCAGACGTGGTCAGCGAGGTCTCAGCAGTCAGCAGCTTTGGACAAGTATGGACAGATGAAAAGACCATCTTTTGATTTGCTCTCTGGATTCCCAGCAAGCACCCATATGAGCTGTTTGGTTTCTTCATACTACATACTATGTTTGCTATTTCTTACATGTGATATGCAAGGATTTTCTATTTCAGAGATATTTCAGAATTCCAGAAAAAATTCTTATTCCCATCTGGTTTCCACCTCTCTTGTCATACCTCCTGCTGCCAATACTGATTCCCAGGAGCCACTTTCCTTCTCTTTTTTGATAAAAGAGTACTTTTGTATTTGAGCTACTTTCAGACAACTTGAACATCTGTCCCATCTGTCCCACTTCTATTACTTTTTTCAAGCTTGTCACTTAAAGATTAAATAATTTTCTTAATATGTTTTAACATTTTCTTTAGAAGGCTTATTTCATCCTAATATTTTGTGCTTTTTACTGTGTGCTGTGTTTTCTGATCTGTATGAACCTACTTCTTTGCTGATGTGTCCCTGTAATAACTTTTTGTTTGCTGGGCATTCACTCCTACCATCATTCAGAGGTAGTTGTTGACTCAAATAGCTTTGGGAATCTCTTCTTACAACTTTCTCCCTCTGCTTGTTTGGCAAATTCCTTCTAGGTTTTGTAATTTTGATTAAAGGAGATTTCAAGCCTACTCCACATTCAAATCCCTGCACACTTCAGTCCAGTTGACTTTACTAACCACTTCCTTCAATTTCTCAAACTTTGCCCTCCTGAAATTACTCTATTTATTTTAAACTTAATCAACTCCTGCTCATACAATGCAAGGTAATTTTCTGCAATCAGCCCCTCTAGAAGGTCCTTAAGCCTTCTCAAAACCTAGTCTGAAATAAGCAAGTGCAAATTCTCTTTTGTGATTGTGACAGAGAAAATTAACAGTGTTTAAGGACTCTTAGCTTTTATGATCATAATGAAGCAATAAGATCTGTAAATACAGATTTTCCTTCACAATGAGCCTTAAATTTGTACATGCTTCATCAGAAAAAACTTTTGTTTTGCAAGTGAACTGAAATAACATATTCTGAAGGTGAAATCTTGGCTTTATGGAAATAAACAGGGAATTGAGTATAGTAATGTTAGGACTTTGCCCAAGAGTTGTGAAATTATTATCAAGTGTGGGAGCTCTCAGCCTGCCCTTAGAGAAGCTGGCTGTTCATCACATCCAATGTGTCAGGAAAAACAGGCTGATAAAAGGCATCTGGGAGCAGACTCATTATTTTTCCCCTTTGCATGTGCTCTGTGTATTTTTGAAAAAGTTCTAGGTAATAGCTGGGAGTCCAATGTAGTGAGAAAATGTTGACCTAAAAATAGGATGTGAAACTTAAAATACAGCCCCAAATTAAAGCATTGGTGTTACAGTCATGTGCACTGGGGCTCAGACGTTATGTTCGCATGAGGGGATACAGTTTTTCCATTTAGCTTAGTCTGTTTCTGGTTTATCACTCTTGTAACTAAAGTTGGATAAAAATTTTAAGAACTCATTTTAATTTTTCTTCTTCATATGAAAACCACAGGCTATCCTAATTTGTAGCTTCATGATACTCAATATTCAAGGAGCATTCAGATGTCTAGCCTGCACTCTGAATATCCTTGCAAATATTCCACAAAATATTCCTACCAAGCATTCATTACCTTGTTTTGCAGAAGAGTTTTCTTCATTTACTCAGAAGAGAGAAGTGTTATAGCACACTACAAGCAACAGACAAAAAAAATCCCAACAGCTGATAGGCACACAGCCATCTTCACCATAAGACATCTGTGCACTTGGGGGACAGTGAGGAGGTTGTGAGGCAAGACTGCAGGGGGCTACTGTACAAGCTAGCACAGGTAGTTTCAAAACAGTTTAAATATGCTTCAGCCCAATCTCAGTGAGTGGAATGTCACAGAAAGGACCGAGGAGGTGTCAGATCCTGTCTCTGTGACAGCACAGAGTAGAAAGCCAGGCAAACCATTCCACCGCAGGCAGTGCAGCAGCTACTCAGGTGCCGGTCACACAGCCCCTCTTAGGCATCTGCATCACATTAATGGTGTCTGTGCACTGAACATTAAAGACCATTAAACATCAATGAGTATTATGTTTCCATTTTCCAGTAAGATCCTTTTTGCAATGCAAAATTGCTTTTAATGTCACTATCCTTAGGCATTTCAGATTCCATGTACAATTGATAGTCAAACTTGTAGTGGGTTGACCAGATACCAGGTACCCACTAAAACCGCTCTCTCACCCTCCCCTCTGCAACTGGACAGAGGAGAGAGAAAAAAAAAACAGCTAAGAATTCATGAGTAGAGTTAAGAGCTGGGAGAGGTCAGTGACCGATTACCTTCACAGGCAAAACAAGACTCAAAGTGGGGATAATACTTATATTTATTACTGTAATGAGTTTTTTAACCTCCCTGGGAGGGAAAAGGAACCAGATAGATCACCTGATTCATATTGTGCCAATAAGGTATTCCATACCACGTTACGTCAGCTCAGATATAAAAGAGACGAGAAGGAAGCAAAGTCTCTCCTCTTCCGGGTAGCTGCGCAGAATAGTCGGGCCGTTTCTTCAGAGGAGGAGAGCGTTCTCGTGGGGAAGTTTATTGTTAGTTCTTCTCTGTGTGTTTAGTGTTTATAGGTTTTTTTCCTCTCTATGTAAATATTAAACCGCCTTTCTTAGCAGGTTCAGTTTCGCAGTTTTTGGGTTTTTTTCCTTTTCCCTCTTTCCTCCTTCCCTCTCCTCAGGGGGGAGGCTGAGCACAGGCCCAGTGGATACCTGGTGTTCAGCCAAGGTAAACAATAACAATTACTAACAGGAGAAGAGCCAAAGAGTGACAAATAAAACAGTCTTAAATCACCTTCCCCCACCTCTTCTTCCTTCCATGTTTTCCCTTCTCAGCCACAGCAGTGCAGGGGGACGGGAATGGGGGTTGCAGTCAGTTGTTTCTGCCGCTGCTCAGAGAGAGGAGTCCTTCCCCTGCTCCCGGGGGGTCCCTCCCAAAGGAGACAGTCCTTGATGCACCTCTCCAGCGTGAGTCCATCCCTCAGGCAGCAGTTCTTCCCAAACTGCTGTCCCGTGGGTCACTCCTCCACGGGGTGCAGTGCTTCACAAATGAGCTGTACCAACATGGGTCCCCCACAGGGGCCACAAGTCCTACCTGGGAAAAACCTGCTCCAGCATGGGTTTCCCTCTCCATGGGCCGCAGGTCTATGGCAGGACCCTGCTCCATCTTGGGCCTCCCATGAGGTCACAGCCTCCTTCCTGCATCCACCTGCTCCAGCATGGGCTCCTCCATGGGCTGCAGGGGGTCAGCCTGCTTCACCATGGTCTGCACCACGGCCGCAGGGGCCTCAGCTCCGGCAGAGGGGGAGGAGTGCTCCCCCTCCTTCTGCACTGACCTTGGGGTCTACATTGTTATTCCCATGTTCTCACTCCGCTCTTCCCTGGCTGCAATTTCTTCTGCACAACAATCTTTTATTCTTAAATATGTTATCACAGAGGTGTTACTATTACATCTAGTTGGTTCGGCCTTGGCCAGAGACAGGAAGTCCGTCCTAAAGCCGGCTGGCATTGGTTCCACGGGAGAGGGGAAGCTTCTAGCGACAGAAGCCACCCCTGTAGCCCCTCCCCCCCCACTACTAAAACCCAGCCACAGAAATCCACTACAAACTTAAAAACTGGACTTGAACTCATGGTTTGCTTAGGTTCTTGTGAAATTTTCCCCAGAAGAAATTAGTCCAGTGTGGGAATTATGTGAGAAATACCTACAAATAAAGATGACACACATGAAAATCTGAATTACTTGGCCCAAGGAGAAAGTTCTTAATACATTCACTAGTTTTATTTGAAGTACTCACACTATGTTTTTATTTCCCCAGTTTCTCAGAGATATGAGCACAGGGTCTGAGACACCTGAATGAGCAGACCTGTACTTAGCTCAGTTTGTTTTCACATCCCAGGTGTTCCTTTTCACCCACTCTGTGCCATAAAACCTGTTCCTCTTTGCTATCTATCTTATAGCTGAGAAGAACAAATACACATAAGATAGGAAACATGAGCAGGAGGAACAAATCAGACCTGGATCACATATTGTAATAAAGCATGCAGCTTTTTTTCTCTAGTATTTACTAGAGAATAGATATCAGGCTTCTGGCTGACCAAACGAACTGCAGTAGGCTTTGTAGGTGAATGAAGTTTTAAAAGGCCTTTTTAAACCAGTTTTGTCATGATCCCTCATGGCAAAGAATTAATCAGTTCAACATGTGAGGGAGTGGTTTGGTCACTGTTGAGTTGATGTCTGAATTGCATACAGACAAAACAGTCTGTTTGTTTTTCTTTCAAAGAACTAATTTTGTTGTTTTCTGAAGAATCACAATTCATAATTTTTCCTGAAAGGAAAAAATAATATCCATATTTATATTTTTGTCCTGAGTATATATTTCTTTTACTTGGATGGTAAGCTACTAATATAGAACTTAATAAATTGTATCTTTCTGAAACCTGCCCTCAAAAGTGTAGTGGCTTAAGCCAGCTATTAATGTTGTCAATAATTATATTTTACAATTTCATGGTTGTTGTGTAAGAATTCCAGATAAGTAAAACCAGAATAATTAATTGCTATGGTAAAATTTTATAGACATTTACAAATAATTTTTCATTGCAATGAATTACACCCTTGTATTAAAGCTAATTATTAATACTTGCTTAACTTTAGGGGAAAGGGTGTGGTAGTTATTTGATTACTGATTATAATTTTCGAGTTACAGCTGGCAGCCAAATATTTTTCTTCCATTCCTAAATAACAACTATTAGGCTAAAATGTGTCTGGGCAAAACTCCTATATGTTTGCACAGTTCTGCAATTGAAGCCCAGCACAGGCTAAAAGCCAGGGCTCAGGCTGGGGCACTGTTCTTTCTCACCATGCAAATGCATGTTTCTCTGAATGCATTTCTCTGTCTATCTTCTCTTATATCACTTGCATCATTCACTGGTATGTTATGAGGCGATTTCTCCTAGGAATGAAACTCAGGGAGAAAGAGTGAATGTCTTTTAGCCAGTGGCAGTCAAGAAGTTTCACAACAAGATTGTGCAAAACTGCTTTGTAGCCACTGCCTGTCACATAGACGGTAAAGATATTGGCAACACCTCTGTCAAGGGCTGCTGTTCAGAAACCTGTATGGATATGGACCAAAGACAGATTTGTGCTCCACAGGAAAAGAACTGCTGTTAGATTAAGGAGAATTTTAGAGAGGCAGGTCTTTAATATATCCTTTAATTTTACATCAAAATTGATATCAAGAGAGACTGTAAATCTCTTGCCTCCTCACACGTTCATTAATAGTTTAACCTCCTAATAAATCTCCAGGTAAACGCAGCATGGCACTACTCTTTCCATTTTGATTTATTACAAATACCTTGCTCTACTAACAGAATCCTTGATTATTTTTCCTTCTTAACATCCTGTCCAAACATATCCAGTGCCATTTTGTTCATATGTATGCCACACATTGCTTTGTCACATCAGCTTGTCATCCTTGCATTTATTTCATCGTTGCTGTCAGATTCCAGCCTCATTATCTTTTGATAGACCACTATTTCACCTCTGTCACTCTTCATGTTATTCTTTATTTAGTAAAGCAACCCTTGTTTGAAGACATTTACAGGAATCACCTCTGCCACTTCCACTAATGTGCTGGTGAAGCTCATATACTCCTTTTAGTCCTCAGAAGTATTAATTAATATAAGGCTTTTTGTCTCAGTTTGGGGAAATCCTTTTGTCATTTTATTAAGTAGATGAACAATACATGAAACATAACGTTGTAACTGTTCATGTGCTTATTCTCTGGCACATTGTGGCACACTGGTCCTTCACTTGGGCAGCTGAATGACCTCCAACACAAGAGCTGTACCACTGAGGATTCCAACAGATCAATACTTATCCAAGTCAGTAAAATCAGGACCTTGTTCTAACTTCCTGTGTAAAATTTTTTCTCCTCCATTTCAAAAAATAATAATTAGAACTACTGTCCATGGGCTTCTACATACTTTGTGTAAATCTAAATAATGGCCCAACCTGATGCAGTGAACAGCAAACTTCCATAGCAGAGGGACAGGTCCATGGGATGCTCTCTGGCCACTGCACTGGGTCAGTAGCTCTGGCAGAGAAGTGGGGCCAGCAGCCAAGAGCGACCTCTTCCATCTCCCTCATGAGAAATGTTGGAGCCTGTACATTTCATTTGAGTACTTAGTGATCACTCCCCTGTCCACTTCAGAGATAACTGAGACTTGGAGAGGAATTATTTGCTCAATTTTGGAATGCAATTTAATAACAACTACAACCAATGCCAGTTATGTAGATTTCTGAGTTATTAAATTCCTTCAGTAGATAAGCAGACTCCTTTGCTTAGCTCCTTGACACGTATGTTGGTGGGTTTGATGTCTCTATAAAATTACCTTTTCTAATCTTAGAGATGTTAAGATGTGAGCTTAAGGACAATTTATTGGGTTGGAAAAACAAAGGTTAATTTAGTGGTGGTATTATTAATCAAAGGATTAGCTGCCATCTCTAGTTTTACCTTGAGTACCAGAAACTAAAATTGTAATAATAATAATAAATAAAAAAGCCCAAGAATAATCTGTGTGCTAAGGAAATATGGGAAACTTTAAACAGACCCAGAAGGAAAGGCAGATAAAAAGTGTGAATTAATCTTAGCCAGAGAGAAACTTAGAAACTTTAAAAATACTGCCTGCTGTCTCTTCCCATAAACCTTCAGCAGCAGGCAGCTACCAGTGAGTCAGTTTTTGTCTGTGAATACACATAAAGATAGCTGATATCCCAAGGCATCTGAAATACCTGACACCAAACTC